AAGATACATTTGTCAAGAGTCAAGAATCATCATTACCACACTTAACAATAGTCTTAGGGTACAATAAGCAAACAAATCATACTAGGAACAGCCAATATAAATAGTAAGCATACAAGTGACAAAATTATAGTCATACAGTCACAAATGGGAGGGGATGGGCGATAAAGAGTGATGAGAAGATTAATAGTAATAGTAATGCAGACTTTGTAAATAGTTGGACAGTGTTGAGGGAACTATTTGTTTAGCAGAGTGATGGCATTCAGGAAAAACTGTCTTGTATCTCTAGTTGTTCTGGTGTGCAGTGCTTTATAGCGTTGTTTTGAGGGAAGGAGTTGAAACAGTTTATGTCCGGGATGTGAGGGGTCTGTAAATATTTTCACAGCCCTCTTTTTGACTTGTGCAGTATACAGGACCTCGATTGAAGGCAGGTTGGTAGTAATTGTTTTTTCTGCAGTCCTAATTACTCTCTGGAGTCTGTACCTGTCTTGTTGGGTTGCAGAACCAAACCAGACAGTTATAGAGGTGCAGATGATAGACTCAATAATTCCTCTGTAGAACTGTATCAGCAGCTCCTTGGGCAGTTTGAGCTTTCTGAGTTGGCGCAGAAAAAACATTCTTTATTGTGCTTTTTTGATGATGTTTTTGATGTTAGGTGTCCATTTTAGGTCTTGTGATGATAGAACCTAGAAATTTGAAGGTCTCTACTGTTAATATTGTGTTGTCCAGTATTGTAAGAGGTGGTAGTATGGGAGGGTTTCTTCTAAAGTCTTCCACCATTTCTATGGTTTTGAGTGTGTTCAGTTCCAGATTGTTCACACCACAAGGCAAGTTATACAACCTCCTGTCTGTATGAGGATTTGTTGTTGTCTCGAATGAGACCAATCACTGTTGTATCATCTACAAACTTCAGCATTTTAACAGATGAATCATTTGAGATGCAGTCATTGGTATATAGGGAGAAGAGAAGTGGAGAAAGCACAAAGCCTGGGGGGGAGGGACTGTGCTAATTGTACAGGTATCAGATGTGATTCTGCCTAGCTTCACCTGCTGCTTCCTATCTGTTAGGAAGCTTATGATCCACTTACAAGTGTTTTCAGGTATTGCTAGCTGGTTTAGTTTAGTTAGAAGAATGTCTCGAATGATGGTATTGAATGATGAACTGAAGTCTACAAAGAGGACCCTTGCGTAGGTATTTGGAGATTCAAGGTGCTGTAGGATGTAGTGCAGAGCCATATTAACAGCATCATCTGTCGATCTATTTGCTTGGTATGCAAACTGCATGGGATCTAATAGTGGATCCGTGATGGTTTTTAGGTGGGACAGCACTAGCCTTTCAAAGGTTTTCATAACTACAGATGTTAGAGCAACTGGTCTGTAATCATTCAGTTCCTTGATGGAGGGCTTATTTGGCACTGGGATGATAGTAGAGCATTTGAAGCAAGAAGGAACATAGCACATCTCTAGTGATTTATTGAAGATTCAGGTGAAGATGGCTTTAATAGCTTTCATTCAATTCCAGAGACGTTTACTGTAAGGCTGTTGTGATTTGACACCATCAGAACAGAACATGTGTACTGCAGAGTCTGAACTGTGATTCTGAACCTTTCATTTCATATCACTCACTGCAAAGCTTCAAAACCTGAACTGGGTGTGTAATCCATTCTGACCATTTTGTATATACCTTTTATGACACCTAATGCAATTGCTATTATTACTTTCAGGATCTTGTTTACCAGGTGCTCATATCAGATTAGATTTATGGCATTTTGCAGCAACAGATGCCCAAAATGTTACAGCTGATTTCATTCCTCCCACCCCAGCCACAGAAATAATCAGCCTGCAGCTGCTCCAACACAGATTCAGAAGAGGAATTAAACTGGTGCCTAGCCAGACAGCTTTCCTTTAATATAATCACCATCCATTTCACTGGGACTCCAAAATGATGCCCCCAAGTGGATCATATAATTCCATTTTGTGTGTGTGTGTGTGATGGAATTCAAGACTGTCTGAATAAATATTATAGAATATTTATATGTGCATATAGCACAATGGGGTAAAATGTTTTAAATCGTGGAAATGTGATAATTTTGTCTCCGAGTTTCATGTTACTGTCTGCCAGAGAGTGAACATTGACAGTTTCAAATACAATTTGTTGGTGGTCATGATGGAGAGATAGAAACAAGAGATATAGCCATAAAAAGAAGTGAATGTGGCTGGTATATTAAGTATCTTCAAAATGTAAAATCTACATAAACTATTTCAATAGGAGGACTTCTTTTTTCTAAACAGAATAGAAAGCAATCTTTTATCAATGACACAAAACTCTCTTCTCCAAACTGACAATTAGGGATTGATTGTTCTTGGTTTAGTACACTGGATGAACCTTGCTTGAATTTGTCATGCTGCTTAGTTACTAGCAGCACGAACCAACATATTCAGAAGTAAATTCCATTGACATCAGTGGTTTTATTTCCAGGCATATGGACAGATTGTACAACTGCAAATCGTAGCTCACATGCCACATATAGTCCTTGGCTAACTACCCTGTAACCCGTGAACCCTTTACTAAGTCTCAGTATTTTTGATTCTTTTCTGCTTTGTGCTTGATTGACAATGGAGAAAGCTTCAGAGTTCATCTATTGGCATGCATTCCAGCAATTACTGGAGTTGGAGAACAGTGAGACTGCATTAGTTCAGATGCTTCCAACAATTTTCAGTTGGAAAATATAGGGCAGGAAGGCACACAATGGTAATTAAGTTTGATAGGAAGGAAGAGATGGGAAAAGATAATGCTGATAGGGAAAATGAGTGAATGCTTATATGTTTATGGACATATATAACAATGGAGGACAAAGATGTTCTCTTCCAAGCTTTGGATCTTCATCAGCACAGCTGCAAAGTCTGTGAGGCAGGGGAGATTGTAATGATTCTCCAAGACTTTAATGGTGACTCAGAAGATAGAAAGTGAGCACCAGAATCTGAAGCTGGATTGTAGGGACACATTGGGAGTTCCTGCTTATGTTGCTTAGTAGGTTCCCTTCTGAGCATCTCTATTTCATCTCCAACTGTTTCTTCCAGTCCAGATATTGACAGTTTCTAGACATTGGAATCTAGACTTCTTCTGTACCTCCAATTCATTCTGAGGTAGAGTCCCAAAGGTGTTTTTTCAAGAGGCAACTGGGCTTTCTTGTTTTTCTTTGAAGACTTTTCATTTCTCATCCAAGAAGATTCTTCAGTTTCTGAGGTAGAGATAAACAACTAGGTATCTTTGGCATATTAATGATACTTTATCTCAAACCAATGAATAACTTTAAACAACTTCACGTGAATAAAATGGTGGCGAGGGTTAACCCTTGGAGTTAGTAGGGGCCAGAGGGCCCCGCCTCTCTTCCTCATTCTACATCTCATAGCTCATTTTACCAGCCCCATGGGTGGGTCTTGTTGTCCATGATGAGGTCTTATTTCAGACTGGTGAAGTCATCACCAAATGGCAGTTTGTGGAGGTGGTGAGGAATATCTTCAGTTCACTTATAGTTGGTGAGTATATTTGTTTCTGGAATCACAAATGGATAATTTTGGGTGGTGGTCATATTGAGCCCCTGCGTCATGGTTTGTTCACTCCTGGCCATCAAGTTTCATCACGGGTGGGATACAACCAGTGTAACAACTGGTTTGGTGAGTGTGCACATGTGCACCAAATGCGCACTGTACGCATGTACACAGCATTTGAAAAAAATATCCGGCAAGCCCTGTGTGTAACACAACTGATGTGCAGCAATCAGCTGTGCCATGCAAAGCAGCTGAGGTTGATAAAGCAGGAAATAAAAGACAGCCTACAGCCTGAACAGGCAGTGGGCCAAGCAGAAGAACAGAAGATCATTGGAGTGAACCGGTTCCCTCTCAGCTGATCTTTGGAGCTACCGGTTCGGCAGAACTGGGCCAAACCGGTAGAATCCCACCCCTGCTCTTCTCCACTACACAGAGACTGAAACTATCAACTCAAGAATTAATGGAGTCACCAGAGAATCCATCCTCAACCCTCACCTCACCCAATTTTCACAGTGCAGAAGGATGCTAAAGCTGATGGATTCAAAACTCACCAAGAGATCCAACAGGACAGATATAGTTGTGCTACCCATCTTAGGCCTTCAATATGTCACTGATAAGAATGATCAATATAGTTTCTGTCCTGTGCCCTAGCTTGAAAATTGTCTGAAAGTCATCCCTTTGTAGATGCAGCCATCTTTCAGGAGAGGAAAGGCAGGGATTTTTAAAATGTTATTTGTATTTCCTTTGTTTCTCTTGTTGCTTAATTTATTGATACTATTAACCATGAATAAATAAACAGTTACACAATTGGAATTAGGAGTTTTTAGTTGAAAAGGGCCATTTTTGACAAGAACACTCTTACTTCATTTAAGATCTTCATGTTTTATCAGGGCTCATACGGGATGTATTGGTCACTGAAATAAGACCTTTTAATTTATTTAAGAAAAAAACCCAATATAGAAATAAATATGGACTTCCAGGTTTTGTGGGTTGAGATGTGAGATGGCCCATTTAAAAGTATCTTGTCAGTTGTTTTGTTGGTTTTATCTTTAATGACCATTGTTACTATTTTTTTTTAAAAAATATATATTTTATCCTGTTATCCATCCAGAGTCACTATTGTGGTAATCTGCAACATTTTAAATGAATTTGATGAATTATAAATATATAAGAACAGTAACAATATTTTTTATAATATATCTTACAAGCATACTGTATCAGGAAAAAAAACACGTTTGGGGAGGCCAAAGAAGGATCTATCATTTTATTTTCTAAAGTAGCTCATTTTTTAAATGAAGTTATATTCACTGTCTTTTTAGACACCACTGTGAAAAATGTACCTTTGTTACAATGCAACAAAACTTTCCAAGTGGCGATCTGTATTTACCATCACAGAATTTTTCCTCGGTTTCTTTTATTTGTGACTGTTTTCTTCTGCTCTTCCCTCTTAGGCCCTGCCGCAAAAAAGAAGTATGTCAGTTATAACAACCTGGTAATCTAATCCGCTGAATCAGACGGAATCATGGGAGGATGGAGATTTTCATCCATTCAGTTCACCAAACCTTATGTAGGCCTGTTCCTGAAGCTGCTGAGTATGCACTGCTGGAAGAATTGAAAGGCCAGGCACTTATTATTATGGAGGATCCAAGTATTCTGAACAGCTGCTCAGTGAAAATATTCTTACTATATTCTTGGCTTAATAAGTCACTGGCACTGCCATTAGGCTGTGATGTTGGACCTTTTTCTTTGTTTGGGAGACATTATCTCTAAGCTCCAACCTGCAACGTTGGCCCAGCATCTCTTGGGTGGATTGCAATCGGCAAAGGTGACATTCAAGGGGCTACTTTTTTGTCTTTATATGTACTTCAAAACTGCAAGTTTTTCAACTTTCTGTCCAGCTTGTGAGGATTTTCTTTTTCTTTGTTCTTTTCACATACTGCCATTTTCATTGTTTTGGAGGATTAACAATGGTTTGGAATGCACAGCCTCATGCAAGCTCTCTTTGTTTCACAGCACATTAAGTAGGAAGGAAAAAACAATAAAGACCCTCCCAAAGATAGGAAAGCATTTTTATTTGTGACATGTATGATCACTATGGCATACTTATGGTTCATATAAGTTTTTTTTTTTTAATTTTAAAAAAGGGAGAAAAAAGTCTTAAGACCAAAAACTGTGCTGATTAAGCAGGCCCCTTCCTTGTTCCTCACCTCCACCTCCACCATCTTCATCCTCTGCCTTTCACAATTCTGATGGCAACAAAAAAAGCAGAACGGTTTGCTGAGCTTTGATAGAGGTCGTCTCAGTATTTGGAATGCATGCCAGTAGTGTAATTTGTTCATATTTTATGTTAAGTACTTCTACTTTTCTGATTTTGTTTTTGTTTTTCATTAAGTATATAATTTTGCAATAATTTCAATAATTCTTATGCTGTTTGGGAGAAAGAAAATGGCTTTTACATGTCTTGAATTTCTTTTCCCCCCCTCTTTGTTGATGCCCTATTGACTGACCGGTGTGATTTAAAAAAAAAGAATTTTAAGGAAAAAAGCATGTATGTTTTATACTGTTTGTAATAAGTAATTTTGTTGATCTTGCTGCTTATGTGCCAATTTAGTGAGAACAAATCTTTGCTGCAAAACTCCCCCCTTTCCATATTCTCAATCCTGTGATATTGTCCAAGAATGTATCAATAAAACATTTTGGTTAAATTTTCTTTATGTATTGTAACAATGCCTATTTTATTGGCATCACGTCTATGTTTTGAGAGTTATCAAGATGAGAAAGACACAAGGATGCATGAATTTGAGCCTTTCTAGCAGGCCTGCTTTCTGCACAAAGGAAGAATGGATCCTGAAATTGGAAGCTATCATTTACCCAAAGGAAATTCTACAGATAGGTTATTCTGGTGCTGGGAAACTTTCAAATTATTATGCATGCAATGGTAAAAGTCAGCAATTATTTAGAACTACTTGATTATAAACACTGACCATGTACAAGATGAAAATTTATAATATTGTGAAGACTACACACTAACTTCAAAACACAGTAGATGCATGAATCAATCTTCAAATAAGTCCTAGTCAGAATCCATGGGAATTGGCTCAAATATTAGTAATGTGTTCGATATGTACGAAAATGAGGAAATGACTCACTCAGCAGGAATTAGATAATATTTTTGTATATTTTACTAATGCCCAATGCTTTTTCTAGGTAGCAATTATTATAGAATGTCCTCTAAAGAGACATGATACCCTACTAGACAATGTGTAATTTATTGGTCATTATTTCAGAGATAACTTGCTTCCTTAAACAGAGAATCAGTTGGACAAATTGCCAAAAAAAGCAATGGGAGCAGGAATGATTGCCTGCCAGCTTCCCCAATGACTTTCCTTGTAAGAAACTGGCAGAAAACATTGGAAATAACAATCATGTGACTGGCTGACTGTAGCAGTGCAGTAGCATATTAGCCCTGAAGTGGCAACAACTTTCACATTTAAATCCCAGAAAAGTCATGGCTCTTGGATTCTGGATATATTGTGTAAGTTATCCCAAGTGTGATACATTGATTCAAAAATGTGATGCCTCATTTCAAAATTGTGATGCCTCATTTCAAAAATGTGATGCCTCATTTCATCCAATTGAATGTTACAAACAATCAAACACAAGAGTTTCATAGTATATAAGTTACCAATCTTAATATGAAAAGATTGCCTCTTTCCTTTAACAAATTTCTGGAAATGGTCCAGATGTAGGGGGGGGGGGGGGAGGGAGAGGGAGAAAGAGAGAGATTATATTTTATTTGCTATATGCCAACGAAGTATAATGAGGATGTACTGGTCAGCTGTGAATTACATTCTTAAACATGCTGAATAGCTACAGTATGATTTCAGGAAAGGACATTTTAATTCAGTACAGCATGAAGCCAAAAAGACCTTAAAAAGCTAAATATGTCATGTATATGATGAAAGGAAAAAGTGAGACAGCCTCTACAGGAAAACCAACATAATTTATTCTGCCTCTAGTTGAGAAACTGAACTTGCAAAGCAGCCATATTTAGTTTCTAATTTGAAGATTATAATCTAAAATATTTATTGTTCCATTTTATCTAAACATCATGGTAAATTACACTGATGAATGGTAATCAGCATCAAAACAAAATATGTGAACATAGAAAAAGGCTAAAAATGAAGGCTTCTATATACTGTGACAAATTTGACTGAATTTTAAGACATTACTTTAAGTGACTGAGAGCAAAAAAGAGGTTGCTCTACACATTTTCAGGAAGTCATTCCTTAATGGGAGCAGATTTCTGTGGAATAGGTATCTACAGATTTTTTCTTGCTTGCACCTAACCATAGAAAAAACCAAAGGAAAAGTCATGCTACATTTTTAGTGTGTTGTGATCTCACAATTGTGATCTCACAAACTGGACTGTATTTTCCTCCATCAGCCAATACTGTCCAAGACAATGGTGGGATTCAAAAATCTTTACTACCAGATCTGTGAGTGTGGCTTCATGGGCTTGGCAGGGGAAGGATACTGTAAAATCTCCATTCCCTCCCCACTCCAGGGGGAAGGTTACTGCAAAATCCCATTCCCTCCCCTCCCCACTAACCTGCTTTCCAGCTCTATTCTCCTGTACAGGGCAACAAAAGAAGACCCAGGGAATTGGAGGCAGAGAATAAATGGGGATGGGGCCAGTCAGAGGTGGTATTTGCCAGTTCTCCAAACTACTCAAAATTTCTGCTACCGGTTCTCCAGACCTGGTCAGAACCTGCTGAATAGCACCTCTGGTCCAGCGAAATGAGCCCCATATAAATCAAATAAGTGAAACTCAGATGTGAGGAAAAGTCCATATTAAAGGGAAACATTGTATAAGAAATAGCAGTGATTATGCTAGCCATGTCCTTGCAGAATTTGGGAAGATAGTTATATAGCAATAGACCTATATATTGTTTGATAGTGCTTTATTGCACTCTCTGAGTGGTTTACAAATATCAGAATATTGCCCCCAACAATTTGGATCCTCATTTTATTGACATTGGAAGGATGGAAAGCTGAATCAACCTTGAGCTGGTAAGAATCGAAGTCCCACTGTAAACAGAGTCCGCCTGCAATACTGCATTCTACCCACTGTGCCACAACGACTCCTACAGTCACTTAGTGATATCTGAATTCCTAGTATAGTTCCAACCTCATCTAAAAGAATGCAAGTGTTTTTAATCAGCTAGGAATGTTATACAGTAGAAGCTACCATATTTACAAAGATAACTAGGTAAATAATAAAAAAAGAAAGAAAGAAAGACTTAAGGTAAATAGGTTTCAGTCAGCATTGCATAGTGTCTAGACAAGAATTGTGTGAACTGTAAAAGCACAGAGGAGGCATATATAATACCAGAAAATCCCCAGTAGCTTGCAAATGTCATTTCAGGAAAGAATTGAATGACAAAGTCAATTGATTCTTTTGTAGAGGTTGTTTTGATTTCCCTAAACCTATTTTATTCAGGAGAAATGGATGCCCCCTGTGCTTTCTTCAGAGTATTATTAGCAGCAAAGGTGGTGATTGGATAAAATTCACAAAGTTTCTGTATATAATGATACTCACAAAGATATAGATCAAGGGTTTAGACTGTATTTTACAGCACAAGAAATATAAACCGTACAAAATTATACACCTCAATTGATTAGCTGAATCCAATCTGAAACTCTAGAAAATTCATTCCAGAAGTAACTTAGATGCCTTGATGCCTGTAACTGAAGTGACATTTAAAGAAAACTAATTTTCTTTCTCACATATTTTAAAGAAAATCTATTCTATTACAATGAGATAATATTTTAAATATTAGAACATGGGCGCAATATTCAACCACCATATTCTGGCAATACATTCCTATATAGGATTCAATGAGTAAGGAATTATCAGTAGCCTCTCCCTGTTCCAAGTTACATTGGAGACGTTCTTAAAGTTCAAAAATATAAAACTAGTAGGAAAAGTTGGTCCAAAGCTTTATTTAGAGTTCCGGTACACATGGAAATTGTTCAATCAATTAGAGTAGAGCTGGAAGGGACCTTGGAGGTCTTCTAGTCCAACCTCATGCTCAAGCAGGAGACCCTATACCATTTCAGACAGGTAGCTATCCAGTCTCTTCTTAAAAACCTCAAGTGATGAAGCACCTACAACTTCTGAAGGCAAGCTGTTCCATTGGTTAATTGTTGTCACTGTTAGGAAGTTTCTCCTTAATTCCAGGTTGCTTCCCTCCTTTATAAGGAGAGAAGCAACCTGGAATTTCCATCCATTGTTTCTTGTCCTGCCTTCTGGTGCTTTGAAGAATAAATTGACTTCCTCTTTGCGGCAGCCCCTCAAATACTGGAATACTTCTATCATATCACCTCTAGTCCTTCTTTTCTCTAGACTGGCCATACCCATTTCCTGCAACCATTGGTCATGTGTTTTCATCTCCAGGCTCTTAATCATCATA